ATCCGTCAAATCGGTCTTCGAAAAGCGTCAGAATAGATGACTTTGAATTATGCCATGCTTTAAGAACAATATTAACCCTCATCACACCAACACCTTCCGAGAATGCGACAAGGGAGGCTGGAATGGATTATTTCCGACTTATTTACCATCATCAGTCAGTGAGGGGTTCGCGATTTGAACTTGGATCAGGTAATCATTGAGCCGTTTAGATCACGCGCTCACTATACCGCGCCGCTTCAGTATCGATGAGGCCAAGAAAAAAGTTAAATGGCTTTGTCCCAACCATGAGAGTAAAAATAAGAACGCTCCAGTTATGTTTGGCTGTCCAAGTCCTCGATGAATAGGACTGAACTTTATAGGATCGACAACTTGGTTGGCGGATAAAAGCTAGTGGTAGGATGCCACAATGTTCGATGCCGATGTTCTAGATTTAAAGCTCCACACCTGGTTGAAAAACTTCGTTTAACGTCGTCGGTTACTTCACAAAATAGTTGACCTCATTTCGAAGGTCAAAACCCAGACATGACTTTTGATTCCAGTGTAGAGACCACCAAAACTTTGCCTCTGAAGTTGGGGAATCTTGCAACTTGCCTCACCAGTATCTCCATGTCTGCGGGGTTGTGGAACGCAGAGGAGAGCCCTCAGCTAAGAGGGAGAAGGATCTGCGACAAAATAAATAGCTTAATGGAAAGGTGTAACAGACGAATCTCGGGGATCGAATTTAGGATGTATGTTCCTTGGTGCTACCTAGCGCATATTTGGCTAAGATTAGCTTATCTCTGTGAGCAATACGCAGGCTCTGAAGCTTCCATCAATTCCATTTCAATCTCAGTTCCATTATTATTATTATTTAGTGTGCCAACAAATGTAACCTACACGCTTGCGGATGTTAATGAGGAGTCGCAGGGTATCTACGCTGTCGAGATGGTCCGGGCCGACTCGGTGACCGACGAACTACCGCCTGAGGGACAGCGACGTGATGAGGTCGCCGTCGTGATTCTACGTAAGTCCATTTTTAGGTAAAGATAGGTTGTGTCAGCCCACTGGGGTTAATATGCATAACTACCTATCAGAGCGGGGTTATTTAAGTTAAACTCTAACAAGTGTGATCTCCAGGTCCGGTTCCTCAGGTGAAAAGAAGTCATGGGAGGCCAGAATGCTAGAAGCAGTTTACTATGTACAAAAGGAATAGAGACTAGGTAAGAGGAATTTTACTGTCAGACGGGCGAGCAACTATTGGCCACAGCGCCAAGCCAGAAGTCCGTGGTGACCGTGGAAATCGCCACAGCGTCTGGAGCGGCCTTTGGGTGAGTCAGCCATGACATGTGACTGGCCAGACCGCGTGGGCAAGCGGAGGTATGTGCGCACCTTAGCAGTACTGAGCGTCCGCAGCAACAGTCCACAAGGTAGGTCGGGACCTGAGGGTCTGTGTGGACTTGGGCAACTACATAACTACTAAAGTTCTTTTAGTGTACCTTGTCTGGTTCGTTTTTGCTAATAACACATACTGGAGGGTTAATTCGCCTCGCTAACAGACTGAGATAGTATTTTTCTGCTACCACGATACACATGTACAAATAGGGCACTCAAAAGTAACCCATCTACATATCCCTCAAACATACTGATACTGATCCTGTTGAACTCCTCCAGTCAATCTGAACCCTATGACTTCTGGATATTTGTTATTGTTTTATCGATTATAATAATGTGTTGCATGAATACGCTGACGGTCCATCCCCGTCTTTAAACAGGTTACTGTTAAAATACGATAACTGTTCGATCTTTTGACATATTGGTCGGAATTGGTGGTCTGACTCCCTGACAGGACAGGGGACTACGAAGACCCCCTCGTTCCAACCCCAAATCTTATCTTTATTGAAGTCTTAACCGCAACCATATCTATTACCGTGGCACAGACCCTAACCCTAACCCTAAATTACCTGGAACTTGGCGCGAAACAACCTATATTCCGGACGTTTCTAGGCCCCTGTCCTGCCGGGGGGAGGGGGCGGGACACAAATGATCCCTGCCGAAATTTGGACAATCACCTACTAATGATTACAGACCACTGGACTTTATCCATCATATTTATGTCCAACTGTTTTGCTATCTAACCTCTGTCTCTCCCTCCCAAACAGCCCCACCGCCGACCGTCTTCATCCCGCGCAACGCCAGCGTGGAACCCGGTGGTATGGTCAGACTCACCTGCAGTGTCTTCACACAGGCCAGCGAAGTCGAAATCAACTGGTATCGTGGTCATGACGTACGCTTTAAGGTCAAGGACGGTCGTCGACACCAGATTCGTACGGCGCCTGGGGAGGCAACTCCAGCTGGACGAACCTTCACAAGCACTCTTACTATAGCGTGAGTTGTTATCTGATGCCTCGTGCTAAAAAACGGCAGGGCTCCTGCTTAGTTTAATTACTATTGCAGGGCTCCTATCTCTCTCACTGTTGCTACAGCTCCTGATATTTTCCCACAGGTTCTTCTCAATTATCCCCTAACGGAGAAGCCGCTATAATAACATTTCTATTTCTACTTATTTTCTATAAGTAGAACTGAAGTCGTTATTAAATTAGGGCCATCGTGAGGGTATTTAAAAAGTATCCACCTTTCAGGTAAGAAAGACGGAGAACTGTTGTGGAACTACGCTAACTGCTGCAAATTTACCTTTTCTCCCATCCTCTCTGTGAAATGCGACTCTTAAATTTAGGTTTTGCTTTAGTAATTTGATCAGCTAGGCTCAGGCCTCTTACAAAATGAAATTTGATTTAGACTCCTATGTTTTTCAAAAGCAGTACCGTTGTTGCATTCCCAATAGTAGAATGTGCGAAACCTGATATTGTTAAAAGTAGAAAACAGAACCTATAGTTAAAAGGCGTATCCTTAAGGTGGTTTCGCCAGCTTACATGTGATACCCATCATCTAATTAACTGAACTTAACTCTATGTGTCATAACACCGTGATGAATGGCCTCTCTTTTTTCCAGGGAGGCACAAGACATTGACGTTGGCAAGTATATCTGCGAGGCAGAACACAAGGGAGGCGTCAGTTCTGCTGATGGTTTCGTCATCATCCATGGTATGTGTTTTTTCATTAGAAAAACATAAATAAATGCTTTACTCTATTGTAACTTTCTAAGGTCACGTACTAAATTTAAGAAAAATGTGAAGGAGACATTATATTTCCTGTAGTATCTTCCCGAAGCGCTAGTTATGCACGAAACCGGAAAGTATTTCATTGTCGTTTAGTAAAGTAGATGCTAACTTCAATTCTTCGGAGTACTGGTTATAACGATAATTTAGAACATAGGACTGCAACGAATCCTTTCCCGGACCCGTGTTGTGGAAAGCAAACATTTGCAAAAGTAAATTTTCGAAGAAAACATCATTAGTTGTATTATTTATGAATGCATCAGCAGCATCACATGTTAGTTGGAGTTCTAAAACAGTGCTTGTAGCAGTGGAAAAATGTTAACTTCGAATACAGTCAGATTGACTTGATTAGTTGCTTGCCAACGTAAACCCACCAGCCCATAAGCATATAAGAAACGCACGTAATTCAGTAAAGCAAGGTCTACCGATAAGAGCTTTTCATTCAAAGATTGGCGTGTCACACTTTAGGAGCTGAATTTGAATCCTGTTCTCTTTTTATTTGAAAAACCTCCCCCTTTATAACATTTCCCATCCGAAAACAACCTAAGAGTCTTCGAAAGTATTAAATGACAGCTGTCTTGAATCTTCTCATCACTTTTTGTGGTGAGGATGAGCAAACCGGGACCTGCTTTGTTTAATTTCAGGGGAAGTTAATGCGTCATCTTGTAGTTACCACGTCAGAACAAACATTTTGAGGCTCAACCCAAAGGTTGGTATGAATATTTGGGCTGAAATCTCAGAGCCACTGCGGAATAATGATGTAATATTTACAAGCTACCCACAAGCAGTCAATAGGATACAAATACGTAATCTCTTACCATACTGACAACAGAGGTGCTGAGGGGTTAAATTATTCGGTGTCATTGAAGGCCAGACAAGCGAAAATACGAGCTGCAGGATATAAGTGAGGAGGGAAAATGTAATCGCCTGAACAAGAACTTTATTCACCAGACGATTCTGATTTATGATCGGACCCATCATTAGAAATAGCCTCGGGTACGGGTAATGTGTGCACACAGAATTTTAATACTCATATGATACGGTGTGCGCTGGGCTACCACATACCGCATACTTGGTCATGGCACTTGGTCCGGATGAGGTAGAAAAGATTGCGGCAGGTTCAACGCAGGTTGACTATCACAATAAGCTATATCATGCGCCAGTCACCGTCCTCGCGCCAGCCTGTTGTGGAATGAACGGTGGGCCTCGCCGAAGTCTACGGCCGAACTCTCTCATATATTGTGTGCCAAGTTTACTGACAAGCACAACACATGCCTTATTTTACCGTCTTTTTTTGCATTTAGTTCGTCCTACCGTGGTTGCGGAGAACACTGATGTTGAGTTCAAGGAGGGTGGTCGA